CAGTGGCGCTCACAAGTATAGCCCGTGGAGCCAAGTCTTTTGGGCCATGGGGCTCTCCACAGGTCTAGAAATTTGGTGGTGGGGGAGTGGTGGCAGCTTTAATTACCACCACTCTGGGAGTCATGTGGCAGCTAACTCTGCCACTGCTCCTCCCCTGCTAAGTTTTGGGACTTGTGGGGACCCCCATGGACAGGATGACATGGTCCATGTGCCAGAGGACTGGTGTGTGGGGCTCATCCATGACTGGACCTGGCATGTGGCCCTGGACCTAGCATTTGGCCTCAGCACTGGTATGTGGGGTTGGACCTGGCACATATCCCAGGCTTGATGTGTGAAGCCGGGCTCTGGCCAGACCTGCCATGTGGCTTCAGATCCAGTGTGTGGGGTCGGTCCATGTGCTGGATCTGGGTTATGGACCAGCTGTACCTCACTCATCTGGCACTGGGAAGATGCAGTACCATGGGTCTAGTGCATAAAAGTACATCCCAGCGGGGAACACCACTACCGCTGTTTTAAAAGAAAATGGCAGGTGCCACTGCAAGTCGTGTGCAACCGGCCCAACTAGGCGCGTGCTAAGAGATTCTGCTGGATTGAGTCCCCTAGGATTAGTTGGAGCAATGCCTCCTTTATAGCTTCTGATTGGGCTTAAGTGGGAGTATGAGCTGAGGTGCTTCTGTCCATGTTTGAAAACTGAACTTCAGATGCCTGGGGGACTTTAAGGTAAAGAACTGCATGTAGGCTTTCAGAATCACAAACTTGGATTTAGGAGGTTAAATTTCACTTAAATTATTTTGGGGTCTGGCCCTAAGTATTAACTCATTTCTTTGCTTGATAATGGATCCTTTTTTAGTGAAAATCAGCTTGTTCAGAACTCAAAGTGGGTCTACTCTGAGCAACAATGTGGCTTTTAGGTATGAAATGCTGACATTTTTGGATGATAAAGTTTGTAAAACAGCCCCCAAAATCTGAGTATTGAAAAATTCCCTGAACATAAAACTGCAGGGGAAGACAGAGAAAAAAGACTTTCTCAGAGATCTGCTCCCATTTTCAATTCAGAGGGGTTCCAGATGGACCTGTTTTATTCTACATCTTTTAAAAACTTCTGACAGCTCCTGTAATGTTAGAAACATTCTTCTAACATCTTCTACATATCTAAGATCTTCAGCAATAAGTAAAATTAGTTCATTGAAAAGGTGCAACATGTGGATGAACAGTGTTGCCAAATGTTTGCAAAACATTATGTTTTAGGGGGGAAGACATCAGATTTTGTTAAATCTTTTCCTTTGAAAATTTCTTCTTGGTTGTAACGTTAGGGTGTTGGGTCAGTAGTTGATGTCTCCTGTTCAGCTGCGAGGGTCTGCATTTGCCATCGAGCGAATGCTGCTGTATTCGCAT